GTAAAGATTAAAAAAAAAAAAAACATTGCCAGGGAGTCCATTCTGATCTGTACAACCTTGGAAATCCTATGGGGCAGGATCTACTCTGTCCTATAGGGCTGCTATGAGTTAGAATTGACGGGAATGGGATATTTGGTTTATGATTTGACTCAGGAGCCCTGATGGCACAGTGGTTAAGCACTTGGCTGCTAATTGAAAGGTCTACGGTTCAAACCCACCAACCACTCCATGGGAGAAAGATGTGGCAGTATTTGGAAACCCTATGGGGGCAGTTACAGTGGTAGAAATCTTGCCTTCCGTGCAGGAGACCTGGGTTTGATTCCCAGCCATTGCATCTCATGTGCAGCCACCACATATGTCAGTGAAAGCTTACATGATGTTGAACAGGTTTCAGTGAGTTTCCAGACTAAGATGGACTAGGAAGAAAGGCCTGGTAATCTACTTGTGAAAATCAGCCAGTGAAAATCCTATAGATCACAATGGTCTGATACATAACCAATCATGGGGATGGCACAGGACTGGTAGTGTTTCATTCTGTTGTGCATGGTGTTACTATGAGTCGGGTACTGACTCAACGGCAGCTAACAACAATAACATGATTAGGTTCTAACATAACTTCCAAGGCTTAATGTTTATGATTCCCTTTCTTGCATCTTAGCCTTCATTCAAATCCATACCTCTTGTTACCTTGCTCTCCTTACCAATGTGCCTTTTCTCACGTTTTTCTTTCTACTTAGAATGCCCTTCCCCCATCTTCACAGATCCATATCTCTTCTGACTTTCAAGATCTAGTTCACATGCCACATTTTATATGAAGCATTCAATAGTCCAACATTCAACAAATATGTACCAAGTGCCTATTTTATACCAGGCATTGAGCTTAAGCCCTTGGAGACAAGGCCCTGCTTGCCTTTCCCTCCCCAGCAAAAAGCAATCTCTTCTTTCTGAATTCTCAAAGCAATGGGCATATTTGGAGACCATCTCAAGAATAGATTTGACAAATTGAACACTAATAACCAAAGACCAGGTGAGCTGTGGAATGACATCAAGGACATCATACATGAAGAAAGCAAGATGTCATTAAAAAGACAGGAAAGAAAGAAAAGACCAAAATGGATGTCAGAAGAGACTCTGAAACTTGGTCCTGAATGTCAAGTAGCTAAAGCAAAAGGAAGAAATGATGAAGTAAAAAAGCTGAACAGAAGATTTCCAAGGGCAGCTCAAGAAGAAAAAGCATTATAATGACATGTGCAAAGACCTGGAGTTAGAAAACCAAAAGGGAAGAACATTCAACCATTTCAGGAATTTGATCATTCAACCATTTCAGCACATGATCAGGAATCGATGGTACTGAAGGAAGAGGTCCCAGCTGCACAGAAGGCATTGGCGAAAAACGAGGTTCCAGGAATTGACAGAATACCAACTGAGACGTTTCAACAAACAGATGCAGCAGTGGAGGTGCTCACTCTTCTATGCAAAGAACTTGGAAGACAGCTACCTGGGTAACCGACCGGAAGAGATCCACATTTATGCCTATTCCAAAGAAAGCTGATCCAATCGAATGCGGAGATTACTGAACAATATCATTAATATTACACACAAGTAAAATTTTGCTGAAGATCATTCAAAAGCGGCTGCAGCAGTACATCAACAGGGAAGTGCCAGAAACTCAAGCCGGATTCAGAAGAGGATGTGGAATGAGGAATATCATTGCTGATGTTGAATGGATGTTGGCTGAAAGCAGAGAATACCAGAAAGATGTTTACCTGTGTATTATTGACTATGCAAAGGCATTGGATTGTGTGGATCATAACAAATTATGGATAACACTGTGAAGAATAGGAATTCTAGAACACTTAATTGTGCTCATGCAGAACATCGTACACAGACCAAGTATCAGTAGTTTCAACTGAACAAGGGGATACCGCATGGTTTAAAGTCAAGAAAGGTGTGCGTCAGGGTTGTATCCTTTCACCGTACTTATTCAATCTGTATCCTCAGTACATAATCCCATAAGCTGGACTATATGAAGAAGAACGGGGTATCAGGATTGGAGGAAGACTCATTAGCAACCAGCATTATGCAGATAACACAACCTTGCTTGCTGAAAGTGAAGAAGACTTGAAGCATTTATTGATGAAGATCAAAGAAAACAGCCTTCAGTATGGATTGCACCTCAACATAAAGAAAACAAAAATCCTCACAACTGGACCAATAAGCAACATCATGATAAATGGAGAAAAGACTGAAGTTGTCAAGAATTTCATTTTACTTTGATCCACAATCAATACCCATGGAAGCAGCAGTCAAGAAATCAAATGACGCATTGCATTGGGTAAATCTGCTACAAAAGACCTTCTTAAAGTGTTAAAAAGCAAAGATGTCACCTTGAAGACTAAGGTGCGCCTGATCCAAGCCATGGTGTTTTCAATCGCCTCATAGGCAAGTGAAAGCTGGACAATGAATAAGGAAGACAGAAGAAGGACTGACACATTTGAATTATGATGCTGGCAAAGAATATTGAATATACTACAAACTGCCAAAAGAACGAACAAATCTGTCTTGGAAGAAGTACAGCCAGGATGCTCCTTAGAAGCAAGGATGGTGAGACTACATCTCACATACTTTGGACATGTGATCAGAAGGGACCAGTCCCTGGAGAAGCCCATCATGCTTGAGGGTCAGCGAAAAAGAAGAAGACCTTCAACGAGATAGATTGACTTGGTGGCTGCAACAATAGGCTAGAGCATAACAACGATTGTGAGGATGGTACAGGACTGGGCAGTGTTTTGTTCAGTTGTGCATAGGGTCAGTATGAGTCAGAACCACCTCAACTGCACCTAACAACATGTTCCATATTGTACTGAGCTTCTTTATGTTCGTATCTTACCTTCTCCTACCAAACTGAAACCCAAACTTCCTTAAAGAAGGCACTTGATAAATATGTGATAAATAAGTGAATATCTAGTCTTATTGTCAAACAATGAGACCATCTTTTTTTTCTGATTTGATGGGATATTTTGTCTATTGTGTACATTTAGTTTTAATTCTATAAGCAAAATAAATAGAAGCAAGAGCTCAAAGAAAGGCCAAATTTTAGGAGATATAAACTGTTAACAAAAATAAACACAATATGCAGACCATCCTAGCAGGTTGGTGTTTAAAATAACCAACCTACCTAAAAAAAAATAATAATAACTTTTTCTTTGCCAGGATACCTAGCAGGCAATATAAAAGTATGATATTAATTAAATCAAAGGAAGTAAGGTATGTGTTGATCATGGCAGGCTGGCATTTTCTGTCTTTCCCACTTTCCTAATACCTCCCTCCATGTGTTGCTTTCAGAGTGGGCCAGGAGGCTGTCATGGCAAAGAAGGAGCTGAGGAAATGACCAGTCAGAATGGGAGAGCCACATCCTGCTCTGTTTTGGGGAATCTGAGCAAGACATAAGTAGCAGGGCCCCAAACAAGCCTCACATGTGCAGAGTGAGTTTTTTCTCTTGTTGAGATCTAAAAATAATAGTAGTAATAGCTTACATTTAATAAACACACATTATGTGTTAGGTACAATACTAAGTACATTATATACATTATCACATTTAATGTTCCCACAAGCCCTAGGAGATAGGTACTGTTATTATTCCCATTTACAGGTGAGGAAAAAGGCTCAGGGAACCTAAGTCACTTTTCCAAAGTCAAACAACTAGTAAGTGGAGGAATCAGACTAAACACCTTTGTCTAGAGCCTTCCTTCTTTACCACTAATGCTCTACTGCTGTCACCTTGGCTGCCCAGGATGACATCAGGCAGGCCAGCATTTGCCCTCTACAAAAGGAAGAATCAGCTTGGCCATCCACGACTCTTTGGATAAGTGGTTAGGTGGCTTTCGCTAATGCTAATTATTTCATCCCGAAGAAAGCCAGTGAGGCAGGAAATAATTTCCATCAGGATACAAAAATTAAATCACAGAAAGGGGAACCTTGCGTAAGATCATCTTCTGTTTAATGTATATGGATATTCTTCCAAATACTACAGCCCTTCCAAGGACTTTGAACTAGTTTACTTATGTTCTAGTAACTTCCCTGCTAAAACTAGCTGTGTGACTTTTGGCAAAGTCACTTCCCCCTCTATGCCTCAGTTTGTTGGAACAGGTGACACTAAAAGGAGACAGTATAGTGGTGTGACTTGGGACATGTTATTTCATCTCTCTAAATCTCAGTTTTCTCATCTGTAAATTGGGGACAATAGTAAGACTTAGCTCATTGAATTGTAGGAAAGATTGAGTGAATTAATGCATGTAAGGTATTAGCCCTTTGCCTGGAACATTGTAAAAAGTGTTCAGTAAAGAGAAGTGCCTATTATTATGGTTATTATGATCAAGATTCTATGTGTAAGAGAAGCAAAAATATTTCCATGTACACATAGACTTGTACATGATGCTCATAGAAGCTTTATTCATAAAAGTCACAAAACTGGAAAGATCACCTAAAACACAATAAAATAAAATAAAATAAAATAGAAAGAGCCCAGATATCCTTTAAAGGGTGGATGGTTAAGGAAACTGGTACATCCATACCATGGACTCCTACTCAGCAATAAAGAGAAGCAAACTATTGATACACGTAATAATTTGGATGAATCTCCAGGAATTATGCTGAGTGAAAAAAGTCAATCCCCAAATCTGTATAGTTCCATTTACGTTAAATGGGATTAGGGCTGGGGGCGGGGGTGGGGATTGACTGTAACCAGGCATGAGAGATCTCATTAGGCTGATAGAAGTGTTCTACACCTGGATTTTGGTGACAGTAGTGTAAGTGTACAAATTTACTAAAACTCACTAAACTGTACACTTAAAAATGGGTTAATTTTTTGTATCTAAATTATACCTCGATAAAATGGTTTCTACAACATTCCATATGTAAAAACTGGATCTGGGTAAGTGTATTCTGTTGGACTCCTGTAAACACCAATCACACAAAACAGCTTTGAATTTTTCACTTACCGAAGGATGGGCTGCTATGTATCCGTGTGCACTTTTATCTGAAAAGTGAGGATAAAGAAGTCAACATTGTTCCATCAAGACTGCCTCATTTAGAGTTCATTCCAAAAAAACAACCACAGCAACAAAATTGCATGCCTTTGACCAGAAGGAAATTCTCCAGTTCAGTATTAAATAGGTATTATGATAAATGATAGTTTGTTTTTCTTAAAATAGCTCACATCATTACAAGCTCATCATATTCTCATCAAGTCATTTCACATATCTTAATGAAGGCCTCCAGTGAATCTCATCTATATGGAGGGATGTTGACATTACCTACCCCTCAATGATGTGATTCTATACATCTATATCCAGGATTTCTCTCCATTTCCCTCTCTCCCTCCCTCTCTCACCCCACCTCTTCCCCTTTGTTCCTTCCTCTCTCTCTCTCTCCCTCCTTCCCTCCCCCTCCACTCTCACCTTCTCTCCCTCCCTACCACCCTTCCTTCCTTTCACCCTCTTCTCCTCCCCCATCTCCTCCTATCCTATTAGTCTCAACACTAGGGCATTCAGAAAACAAACGGTGAGTTTCATTCAACTCAGTATAGTGCAGTAATTCAGATACTGTTAAATTCTAACATCTGTTGTCAGGATTTCCTCTTTAGAATTGACAGAGAAAACCAAAGGGTTAAACAGAAGTGGCTATTTGGAGTGAAGAACAAACTCTGAGAATCTGAAGGGTGTTAATGGTTACACTAAAATGACCTCTGGTCGCCTATGGTTCTGTGGTGAACTTAGGGCAGAGCCCTTGATCTCCTTTATTTTAAGCATTGTTCAATCTGTCACCAGGTTCTCTTAGACATTTTATTCCTGTGGAAAACTAAGTGTCATTAAAAAAACAAGCTGTCCTTGGCAGCTTTATTATGTCTTCAACTTTGAATAGCAGCAGTTAAGCAATCTTCTCATTAAAAAAAGAAACAACGTCTTTAGCATGTTGAATGGCCATATGCCCTCAAGTTTGGGCTTTGATATTTGATATAGCCAAATCGGACACCCCTACACTTCACGTTCCAAGTGTATCCTTGTGTTGCTCTTAAAGAGACTTCTAGCCTGTTTTATACTAAATCCAATGCCAAAAGGTAGATATACCTTTATAGCTGGGGCATTAATGACAGTATTCCCTTCTTTCTTTGTTGTTGCTGTTTGCCATTGAGTCAATTCTGACTCATAGTGACCCTATAGGACAGAGTACAACTGCCCCATAGAGTTTCCAAGGTTGTGATCTTTACAGAAGCAGATTGCCACATCTTTCTCTGTGAAGCGGCTGGTGGGTTTGAAACACCGATCTTTCGGTTAACAGCCAAGTGCTTAACCATTGCGCCACCAAGGCTCCTTCTTCTTTCTTTAGATGTTGAATAATAAATTGTTCTAGAGAGGCATACCGGATGATGATCTTTCTCAAAATGGAAAAGTATTTTTTAGTATATGTTTTTCAATCGCTCATCTTGCAAATTTAAACATCAAAGCTCCAAACAAAGGCCAGGTTTATACACAAGCAAATAAAGTCAAGATTTGTAGTTACATGGCTAATTTGATCACTATAGGTAGCAAGACATGGTTTCTTTATTTAGTCTGATTTTGGGGGTCTAATCAAAATAACCTGGCAATTACAAAATTTGTCCTGTGTCATCATGGTGCAAATCAATGAACCTAAGGGATAAAATAAATCTGAAGAGACCAAAGTTTGCTCTATATACCTCTTGTTTCATGAACACACCACTAAACCGTTGTGGCTGCTGATTCAAACTGACAACTCCTGCTTCACTGAACAATTTTCTTATTTGGTTCTAAACATCACTCAAGTAATATAAATCTCCTAACATCAACCTCAACTGCCAACTCATCTTTCAGTTTGCTTATGTTGAAACCATTTGGAGACGAAACTGGAACTACAGGAGTGTTTTCATCACGGGGTTCTAAGACTGGAATAACTTCTTTGCCTTTTGATACCCTAGCCTTCCTCTTACCTCCTGATGTAAAGCTCATGTATTTCTGGTTGTTAACTGTTTCTTTGGAATCATAGAATTTGAGAACATCTAGAACAGCTTGTGGGTTCTTCTTCTGTTCCAGTTTTGTTATGTTGGAGGTTTGGAGTAATCGTGCCCATTGCTCAGGAATTCCCTGTGGACAACCAAAGGGAAAGAATGGCAGCTCAGAACATTCAGCTGTGGCGTTATCACGTTCCAGTACAGTTCTTCACCAAGAAGCCCATGCTACCTGTAGGATTACACTTGGGAAACTGAAGTTACGCTCTAGATTTAAAGTTAGTAACTTAATAATGCAGTCATTCTCTTCTCTAATCAAAACACATAGGTAAAACTAGGATCCAACTTAAAAAGGGTGGGTGGGAGTATGACTGTGATAGAAAAAAAAAAGCACATGAAAATCACCTCCATATTGACTCTGCTCATCCATGAAATGATGTTTACGGCTTAGCTTATTTTTTCTGGTGACTCAGGGCAGACATAGCAAGACTTCTCTAAATTTGTGCACAGCATAGTATAGTGCCGATCAATGGATTTCATATGACTGGAATAAGACAAGCTGTTTCGGGGCAGGTTGCAATCAGAGTATCTTTTGGCATAAGAGGAAGGCCTCACCCTTGGTCAGTTTATGTTTTGTGGTAATAAAATGTAATTTTTTGGGTCTAGAGCTTTAACAGAAAGGGGGATTGGGAGGAGACAAAACTAGAAGCGTGGAGGAGCAATAACCACTGAGATGCTAAATTGTAACATTAATGCTGCTTTGGGCATTTTCCGTGCAGCTTCCCCCAGGGCATGCCCTCCTTCTCCTCTCCACCTTCCTCCCTTCCCTCCTCCCCACTTCATTCATTGGCCATATAAAACCTCGGGACTGTGAAAACCGTGCCAAAACCTTGTGAGGATCTGCAATAACCTAAAGTATTTAGAGCAGAGAGGAGGGAGTATTTGGAAATCTAACCAAGGAGAGTTGCAAAAATTACACAGAGAGTTTAATTTTTCATTGAGCATTCAGCATTCTTTCCTATATGTTCAGCCTACAGATGACCCCGTTTCGTATTTATCCAACCTCCAAGAGCAACTTGGAGAGAGAAACAGACACACTATTCCTGGAGTGCATCTAGACAGAATTTATGTGGCTTTGTCCCATGAAGTCTCGGTAAAACAATGTGTGACGTGGGCCTCCAGAGTTTGGGAATGACAACAAAAAAGTGAGATAAGCCAAGCAACAACTCTACTGCACACACATGAACCTGCTGCTGCAGTGCTATGACATCTCAAAGAAGCACTTTGATGCAAGCTTCTTTTGGGCCTGTGACGCACCTCTGGGAGCTTCCCTGGGCACATCTGTGAGCCATAGAGATCTGGCTGTAATGGACGTAAATAAAGAAAGAAAAGAAAGTTAAAACAGAATGTGGGACAACTTAGAAGGTGGGAAGGAGATGAAACCAATGGGTTTGAATGGGGGGATCCCTTCTAAATTGGGGCAATTATGAAATAGGGAGGTATTAACTAAATCAGGGGCAGGACAAGCTACAGGACGACAGATTTAAGGAAACAGAGAAAACGACAACGTTCCAAAGTTTGGATGCATAATTCCATCTTTGGCCAGATATTTCCTCCATAAATACGCAATAATAAATATTACCATTAAATGACTGGAGAAATTACTAAAAGGTAGAAACATGAATTTGGAGGGAAGAAGGATGGCATCATGGAAAGCTTCACCGATAATTTGTAAGTTGGTTTTATAACTAGGTGATCACAGGTAGCCAGTGGCCATGTGATGAACTTACAAATTTCAGTTCCCAATTCTGGTTAACCAATTCCAGTTTTACATTGGAAGTGTCTATGTAGCTAAAATTCAAAGGATGGCTATAAGGCAATGCTGAATTTAACACTTCCTCTCATTGATGTGATTCTTCTGTACTTTCTAGCTAAGTCATGGCTGGCTTAGAAAAAACTAGATTAAGGATGTTCCCACACAGCCAGACTCTATGTTTGAGTTTCGTAAACAATTTAGACCAGGGAAAGAGAAACCATTTCATTTCAAACCATACTTGAATATTTTTGTTTTAATGCTGCAGTTCCCAAGTCCCACTTCCACGAAATAAGATCAGATATAAGGTATCAATTTCGTCTAAACAAAAATATATCTCCAACGCTACAGAAACATGCTTTCACCCATCTGATTTGATTTGGGATGTAGGGCCTTGATTCCTGGCATTCGGGGTTACTCCAAGCACAATGAAACGACATTTTTACATGCATTAATCACGCATATGATGCTAAAGCCTTAAGCCAAAAATTTGAACTCAGGAGCCCATGCATGATCCCAGTTCTGATTCTAAGTGCAATTAATAGCATTTGGTTAATACTGTAATGGCCAAAGGAGTTATTAAGTGTTACAAAACCAGGTATGCATTGCACATAACCACTAGAGCAGACATCACTGGCATGATCATTACCATAGTCATTAGAATATTTGCAGTTATTATACATTCCCATGGCACTTCTAAACTTTCGTGATAAATAAATAGTCGTGTGATCACTAGACAGCGGGAAAAATATGCTGTCAATAGCAGAAGGTCCTCCAGACAACTGTACTTACCACATGGCTACGTTGCCAACATAATTTCTTTTTTCTTTTTTTAAGTTCAGACAAGTCAGTTAACCAATGGAACCTGATATGTAAATTTGAATGTTTGCCACAAATCAGCCATCATGTTACTCCAAATTGAGGTACTAATCCCAAAAGTTAGACAGCTAATGGAGACCTAGGTTTCTGAGCGTCAGAAGCAGGAGCACATATCAATGCCTGACCACGTATACAATAACAACCAGATGTACATCAAGCTGGGGATTTTAGAGTGTAGCCCAGGAGAATGGCAGCATGATATAACAGGCCAAGCATTTATCTTATCGTAAGAAATGATAATTTATATCACTCATACCATTTTTCCCTCTGATTGACTTGAAGCGACCGTCACAGGTCTAGAAGTCTGGAAAGGGGAGTTCTGAAGTATTTGGGACAAAAATGGTAATATAAAGGGTAAGGACTTATAATAATTTAATATCAAAAATTTCATCTCCTAAACTAATTTAGCTTTAGTGCCCAAGGGTATGATCAGGTGTACAAGATTATATGGGCCAATCAACTATAAGGTAAGCACCAAACAGCACACCAAATCAGTGTCCAGATATTCAAAATAACAGGACCTTTGTAAGACAAATGGACTAGACAGTTCAACAAATTGCTCAAAATTCAACCTCAGTAACTGTAATAATCAAAATTAGTAATATGACCTCCTCCAACACACACTCAGTGGATTAATAGTACTGTGGTAATTAGGACCCAGTTCTAAATCCTACCAATAAAATTATTTTTAAAGGTTTATTATCATTTGGTATTTTTAGTAACCCAGCAAATGTAAATTGGAGCTTAAGATAGTAAAAAAATCTCTCAAGATAGAATTTAAAAACAATGTATGGACAAATAGTTACAAAAGAAGATCATCAGAATGAAAGTAGTTTAGATTTAGAAATCTGGGCTGTGTCTGTCTATATATTCAGTGGTTTTCTAATAACCAACTGCATCCAAACAGCTGTTTTATTTCAGATTAAGTTTTGGGGGTTGAGGGGCAGTTTTTTGTTTGGTTTGGTTCTATAAGACTGTTCTTCATGAAATTGGAAAGACTATTCCATCACATCCTACCCCACACCCCTCTGATTAAGTCTTTGGGTTTTAATTGAGTGTAAAGTGAAAATGGCCGGTGCTTCAGTCAGCTGGTGATGATTCACTTTCCTTCATTTCCAGTCAGACCCCAGAAAAGCACAAAGAAAGAGTTAAAGATAAGAGAGATTGTATCATAACATGTAAAGTAAGTTGGAAAGAGTGGGAAGAATAAAACATTGGTTTAAAAAAAAATAGAATGCCACATGAAAATTGTGGAGGAGAAAACTTTCACCTCAAAGAAAACAAAAGGAAGAAGAAAAAGAAAAGAAAAATATGGAATGACAACAATAAAACACAAGTTTACATAGAAGCACAGATAAAATAAAAAGATCAAAACCAGAAAGACAAAGTTCTTAAAATAAAAAAGGGAAGAGTTATTAGACGAAACTTTTCTAAAGCTTAAGCGCTTTAACTATTTCAAAAGCCAGAAAAAAGTTACAAATTTCATTGTTTATGTGTTTTAAAAACTCTAAAATTGTTCAGATTACAAAAAGTCTTTTTTTCTGGTGGTAATAATGGTGATGGTAGTGGTGATGGTGGGATTATATACTTTTAACGTGTGGCTAAGATAAGATTCTCAAAATATAGTACAGAAAAGAGGCTGGGCTCAAACTCAAGGACATTTGAACAATGTCTCTGACTTTGAGGATGAAATAGTTAAATATATCAATACCTCAACTTTATCAATATCAATATTTCTTCACGTTCTCTTCTGTTTGCTGCTGAGAACAGGTCAACTCACACCACTTACAAGGCCAAGGTGTTTCCTCAGTTTCCATTTCACTCTCATAGTGCTTAATTCCAGAAATATTGGGGAAAAGAAGATAATTTGGCTGTCAATTCAGCAACATGGTTTGCTTCTCTAAATCAAATTCATTTGTTCACTCTTTTTTCACTTAATCATATGACACAATCTAATCATTAACCATCATGTTGTGAAACAAGAAATTCAGCTATTTAATATCTAAATTTCTCTCTGGCTTAACAACCCAAGAATTGATGGTGATGGTTCTATCAAGGATTTTTTTTTTTTTCAAATGCATGCAAAATTACTCATTATTTCAGATACACATTTTGATTGAATTCCTTACTAGTATGGAAAAGGTAGTTGATCTTCCTGGGGACATGTTTCTAGCCACATCTTTTCCTTCACCCATCTAAAAAAAAGATGCCAGATCTTAAAAAAAAAAAGTATAAAATGTTATAGATCTGTGATCTGTGCTATTCGAGCACTACAAACATCCAAAGAAAGTCTGGATCTGTTGCTATTATCTATCCAGAGAATTCTTACTGGTATTTATTGTGGATTTGACATATATCGGCACATAACTACTAAAGCATACACAATATATCAATATTTTTTCCTGAAACAAGGTTTGCTGCTTTGCACATCTACAAAATATACCCGTTAATAATCCTAAAAATACGCTATGTTCTTGAAATCAAAGGGAAGAATAGGTCAATCTTGCTGCATATTTTTTGTTAGTGTGCTTAGCTGATCTGGGCAATCCAGGTTCCAGTGTAAAGCCTGAATTATTCAGATGGATTGTACTCACTGGGAAAGTTGAATAGATGATTCTCTTATTCACTTCAAACGATAAAGAATGAGCTCAAGCAGAGTTTCTCTACTCAGGACTCCATCTCCTATGTCATGGTAACTCAGTATTTTCAATCAAGTTGAAGACTGATTACAGAGTGACCAAATGTTTTGTTGAGATAAACAAAATAATTTTGCCAATTTTATTGCCACCCTCTATTTCTATCTGTGATTGTCTAGGCAACGTTCGTCTTACTTGACATTATCAAAAACATCAAGTCTGACATTTTGGGATGTGGCAATTCTTGCTTGAAACCAATTTTCACAAAGGAATTTTTTATGACTTACAAAAACAAAATAAGGAATTTACTTACAGTGAATTCCCCGGTGACTGCATCAAACCCCACATGAATCGTATGCTCAAAGTCTGAAGGAAGAGAAATCTCTGGGCGCTCTTTCTCTTTCTTCTTATTGGCTAAAGGCAAAATGTTAACATGTATTTGTTTGCGGTATAGTTTTGGCATCCATAAGTTGTACAATTAGGTTCAACAAAGCAATTACAAAATTGAAAGACAACCGATTCCAATCCAATTTTATCAATATTAAATCCAGAAATTCTAATTTTCTCTGTAGAAGTGGCTGAGAGTCTGACAAAACTCGTTATGTCCAAATAACTCAAAAATTTCCAAAGTCCAATTCAAACAAAACCTTCAGTCAAACTGATTTATCTCATTTATCGGTCTAATGGTGTAACCGACGGGTATCTAGGTATATTGTGGTTAACTGGTTTTGTTGAATCAAATCCCACTTACCAAAATAGAAATTGATTACACTCATGACAAGCTGAGGTTTACTATTAGAAAAGAATAGAAAAGTGTTTACCCTAAAATGTTATGAATTGTTTTCATTTTAATCATAGCTAAATATCAAGTAACTAGAACTTCTTTAATTTACATTATGAAGCATATCTTAATAACCTCTTGGTCTTTGTTCAACAAGGATACTATGGCAAATCAATAATATTACACATTCTTATGATTAAAAACAGTTTTAATCATTTCCTACACAACATGGCTAGTAAAAAGCTACAAATTTTTTACTGAATTAATCTTATTTACTTCTAAGAAAACCAAACCAGTTCCCTTGTTTGGTCTTTCTACTATGTAGACATTTTTCCATGCCCCTATTATATTCCATCATATTAGCCATTCAAAATCATTGCTCTTCTCAATTAGCAGATTTTTCATAGACACAATTATAAATAAAAATATCAACACTTAAGTCACAGTCTTTAAAATATAATCACTGGAGAAATTAATTTGGGAACTTTAATGAAATTAGTCTATACAGAAATATATCCCAGAAGGAAGTTACTCTAAAATGGCATATAGTAGCTTCCATAATGAATGTATCAGCAGGTTTGAGCATCAATCTCTGATAAGGCTGCGTTTCACACTCAGAAAAATAATACTCACCCTCCCAACACTGGGTAAGTTAGCATGAAGCAGGTTTACCCAGCTGAAACCAATCAACTTCAGAATTGCTAGGGTGGCCAATTTAGAACATTCTGGTTCAAATACATGTTTCCTTGGCCTGAATTGTAGATAACACTCAGTTAACCATATATGGATTACTGATTTTGTGGATTACCCATGATAAATTTTAAATTCAAAACCTTTCACGTTCAAATGTCATCTATGGCTTTTTTTTTTTTTTTCCTTTCCACCCTCTCTCACTGTTCCATATCTCTAGTTAGTGGACAGAGATATGGGGCAGAAATACAGGAATTTCAGTAGTGAGAGGGAATATAAAGGATTAGGAACGAAAGGTGGATGAGGGTGACAAGGGTCACTCAAAGTTTTGGCTTGGCCACAGAACACATTTTTAAAAATACATAAAAGCCATCGAATTTAACCTCAGCATAAATTCCATTTTTACAGTGAACTTACTTTATTAATGAATATTATCCTGACTTGACAATAAAGTTTAGAGGTTTCTGTTGTTACTCCTATGTCCCCTGCATGTTTGTGGACCATAGCTACCATTTATATTGTTCAACTACCATTTTTATTTGTTCATAAATGCAAACAGAACAATCAGCTTTTTGCATGCCTTCTGTTCTTGCCATTCCGGTAAAGATGTCCTAGTCTTAACTCCTGTAATCTTTTTCTTAATTTTCCTCTTTCCTGATTTCTCATCATGTTGGGCATGGCTAACTACCTCTCCTTCCAACTTCTTGACATGGTCTGATTCTCCTACTCTTTCAGTGACCATTCTTTCTTTGACTAGCATTGCTGCTGCTGCTGCTTCTGCCTTTCCTAACCCAGTCTTTGGCCTTTAGCAATCCTTTGTCTACACTCATTCCCCTTCGGTTGAACCACTTTCGGATACTAACTCATGTTAGATAATTCCCTAATCTGTAGTTGGCAGGGGGATCCAGATTTTTGGGGGCCAGACACTATATACTTTGGGAGGGAGCGCCCTTTAAGTAAAAACAATACAAAATTACAAATAAAAAAAATGCTAGGGCTCCTCCCTAGAACCTTGGAAGAGTCTCATGCAAGTGAGGAACTCTGAAGAGGAAGCTTCATTCACTTCATAGGAAATCTACTCTTGGGGGTTGGTAACCTGTTTGGAACCAAGACCACTCTGAAAATCTGAAGAAAGCTATGGAATTTATGCCCATAAAAATGCACTATACACATATACACAACTTTGCACATAATTTCAGAGGTTCATAAATCCCCTGGATTACAGGTTAAGAACTGCTACCTTAATCTATATCTCCAATCATTCTATCAACTTGCATTTATGACCTCTCTTGCAAGCAAATAAACTTTCTCATTCTCTATTAGCACTGGCTGCACATTTGGAACATACTGACTTAGATCTAAACACTCCATCTGGGCTGAGCTATGCTGGCTCAGTGGTGTCTCCCTAGAAGGCCACCTGATTGTCAGTCCCTTGCCAGCCTAATCATGTTATTCTCTTTACTCAGGGCTAAGTGTAACAGAGGCAGGAAGCCCAAACTTGCTCCTCTTCCAGTGTTCCCTATCTCAGTGAAATGATACCACTCATCACCCAGATCAGAGGAGGATTAAGGCCTAACATAACTCCTCCTCTTGGAGGCTCTAAGCAATGAAAAGACTATGATCCCCCTCCCCAGTATGTAATGCAAATAAAAACAACATTAAAGCATAAAAAAGTAAGGGAAATCCAAAAAGTTCTGATGTTCCTATGATGATTAATTTGAGTCTTTTGAATGCTATATATATATCCAAAATCAAAATGTTTCCACAGCTTGGGTGCCCCTGCTTTGCTGAATGCCTGAAGTACATGCTTACTCTGCCTACTTGGTAATCCAACACTGGTTCCATTGCCCAAACCAGAAATTTAGGAGTCATCTTGAGTCCTACTTTATTCCTACCTAATTTGGTCACCAAGTTCTCCATCCTAGACTTGTCTTGAGTTCATCTTCTTCTTTTCATTTCCATAAACAATTACCTTAGTCCAAGGCACCAGCATTTCTCACCTAGTTTCACTTGTTCCATTTTTTCCCCTTTCAACTCATTTCTCTACTCTATGGCCAGAGTAATCTTTCGAAAAACACAAATCTGACTGCATTCGTGGCCATGTTTAAAATCCTTAAATGGCTCCCCATTACCGATATGTTAAAAGTTCACACTTCTTAGCCAAAAATCCAAAGGCGTGCATGATATGTGTTCACTTTACCTCTCCAGCCTCTAAACTTGCCATGGCTCCCACTGTCCCATACCCATTCCATGCTCCCTGAACTGCCAGGTTTTCTCTTAGCTCTAAGCTTTTACACATGCCAGGCCTAACCCTGGAAAGCCTTACTTCTCCAGTCTCCCCCCCCGCCTCCCCCTTTGTGTGGATAACTCCCATTTGTCCTTATTCTTGAAACTCACTCTTGGGCTTCTTGTCCTTTGGCAAGTCTTTTTCCTGTCTTCCCTCTACGGACGAAGTTAAATGCCTCTCCCTTCACGCTCCCATTGAGCTACCCATTGTATACTCTGAGCTTAGCACTTGCCAACACGGGATTGTTATTTCTTGTTTACATACCTATCTTTCTAGCTAAAGTTTAAGCAACTAGACAGCAGAGATTGTATCTTATTCATTCTCACTTTCCCTACCACGTGGTTTGGCTTGGGTCCACACACATAATGACTATCATGTGTGGAACATTCACTATGTGTAAAGTGATTCTAGGGTTACCTCATTTAATCTCCACAACAATCTTATGAAGTAAGCTTTACTGTTATTGTATTGTTGTGTTATAGATGAGGAAAGTGAGACTCAGGGAGGTTAAACAACACACCCAGGGTTACATAGCTGGCAGGGTCAGAGCTAGGATTTGAACCTGGGAGCCAGGATCCCAACTGTGTCTCCAGAGGCTAAGTTCTTAACAGCTACACTATTTATTATTCAAGTGTCATTTTAAAAACTTCAACAGATTGGAGCCCCTTGCCTTTTTTCTATTTTCTTTTTCTTATTTTTAAGGAACACTAAAATGTCTGTATCTCCCCCAGATAATTGTGAGCATTGATCCTTTGCATTAAGATTCAACCTAACCTAAGCCTTAGGCTGATAAGGCCTAACCTAATCAGCTCTGGGTGATACCTGCAGAGAAGAGAAGCCCAAGTAAGTACCATTTTTTAAGTATATTCTATTGGAACCCGGAACAAAGGCCACAAAAAAAGGCCACAAATTGCTGATTGGACCACAAACTACAAATAGCATTTGACCTTGGGACCCTCTGAGTATGCATGAGTTCTGGTTGTGATTTCAGGGACCAGTTAATCTGAGTCTCTCATGTTTAACATCTTTCTCCATTCTACTACCTTTTTTAAAAAAGGAAAAGCCCTTATAATTATCTATCATCTCCCACACACCCCTTCCCCCAATATTTTGTGTTTCCTATAGCGGCTAGTGGAAACTCTGGTAGTGTGGTGGTTAAGAGCTAAGGCTGCTAACCAAAAGGTCAGCATTTCAAATCCACCAGGTGCTCCTTGGAAACCCTATGGAGCAGTTCTACTCTGTCCTATAGGGTTGCTAGGAGTCGGAATCGACTAGACGGCAATGGGTCAATAGTGGCTAGTATTTGTCCCGTTATAAACAAATTCTCCTACATCCTCAACCACTTCATTAAATGCCCTCTTTAGTTCTTGCCTTCGGTTCCTAAACTCACGATCCATCATTCTCACCTGGGACACTCAAAAAAAGAGATGCCAGAGCCTCACCCCTAGAGATTTGGATTCACTTAGTCTGGGGTAGGCCCATCATCTTTATTTCCTAAAGTTCCTCGGGTATTTCTATGATGTAGTCAGGGATGAGAACAACTTTAAACCCTACTATCCAAGGAGGGTACTACTTTCCCATATAATCCTGATGAAGGCTGTTCATTCTTCCCTATCTCAAGTCCTGTAGGCCTGGGAGAATGGGGAAGGGCACAGT